GTTTAGAGCAAAGCAGAGAACTCTTTGTGGGAATGCCCCTTGCAGGGACTCCTGCTCCTCTTAAAAGGAAAAAGTCCACTAAACTCATTGGGAGGCTGCCACACGAAGGTAAGATACGCAAAACTGCACAACTAAGAATTGTTTGGATTTCAACCTGAATTTCAGCCTTTAAAATTTCACACCTTGTCTCACTGAACTCTCACAGCAAGACATGCAGTGAACATACCAGCAGGCAGAGCCACAAATATTACCAAAGCCCAGCCTTCAACCATATACATTTTCTATCTTACAGTTGAAAAGCATTGCACACACTCAGGTCAAATGTTGATCTACATCACACACTGTAAACTCATATTCTCCTACAGCATTAATTTGGGTGCACACCAGTGTGAAAGGGAAGAGAACATGATCTTTTACAGGAATCAATATTGTAGTGCCTAGTTATACTCTTTGTTGTTCTATCTCTTATAACCTTTGTCTCTTATTTCTTTTCCTCTATGTGAGAGAATTCCTTTTCTTCTAGCACCCATTTGCTGAAAAAGACAAGGTCTCTTAGAGAGGTTAATAGAGCAGAAAAAATTTAACCTGGGATATTTTTCTTTCTGCAGAATACATGTGTATTGGGGAGGGTGACTTAAATAACTGTGATATCCTTATCTTCTCTTTACTTTTGACAGCATAGGGAAGATTTTTAGAGGTTAAAAAAGTAATAATTCAATGGTGTTCTTTCTTCAGCCCCCCAAAATGGCTGTAGAAACTTCTCTGGTAGGGTACAGGTATATATTTTTCTGTTTGCCCCTAATCCTTTATTCAGGTAAACAAGCATGTAAAAATCCAATTTTCGGTTAAAGGGCATTTCCTCCTGTGCTATGAAACAGTGCTATATAAAATTGGCTTTAAAAAACAATAAAATTCTTCAGAGAATGTCTAATAAAATGAATGAGCTTTATACAAATTTTATAGCAGTTTAAGGATGGAGATTCATTCTCTGTTGTCAATGAGAAGTGGTCTTAACTTTAGTTAATACCAAAAAAACCCAACAAAACAAAAAACAAAGCCAAGGAAAAGTTGCATGTTTCCAAATGAAAAGCTTTAACTGCATTTCTGCAAGATTTTTACACTGAAAGTGTTTAAATCCATTGCTTTGAGGGTGAATTGGTGGTACCAAATTAAATGGAAAAGTACTTATTGAATAACCAGCATATCAAGACTTGAAGAGAATTTCAACCACTTTCCCCTTTAAAAATTCTCCCTAAAACAAATAAACAAAAAGATATAATAACATTGAATCTTGCCATGGCTCCAGGATAATGTTTAAATCAAAGCACACCAGAGTTCTCTTTATTTATTATATGTCAGCCCAATCTGAAGAGCTGACTGCCACTCATTTAATTGCAGGGGGAGGAGGCAAGTGTAATGCAGTAACCACAGGAGGCAGTGATGCATTTTGAGGCAGTACTAAGGAATCCTGCTGCACTGACTGAGATGCTTCAGATTGTTGGACACATCCATCTAGCTCCACCCCTATGCAATTCATCGCTGCAGATTTGCCTTGCTTGCAATTCAGAGTAAACCCCAAACATCTATATCCAAACTGGCATCAATGTAAAACCTTGGTGCATAGCTCAATTCCTAAAAACTTAATTTAGAAGAGAATTTGGGTGCTCTGAAGTCACTACTGATGCTAGGAAGCAATAGACAAGAGATGTGGACCAGAGCACTTCCTAAAGTGTCCCATTGCATATGTCTTGTAGACATGCCACAAGAGGTGTCCAAGCTGAACTTGGGGAAGAAGATCAGCATCCCCAGAGATGTGATGCTAGAAGAGCTTTCTCTCCTCACTAACAGAGGATCCAAGATGTTCAAATTACGTCAGCTGAGAGTGGAGAAGTTCATTTATGAGAATAACCCTGATGCCTTCACCGACAATTCCGTGGTAGGTTGGAGATTAAAACTAAGAAGCTACTCCATACACCTGGGGGAAACAGGAATGGAGTGTGTGCAAGCTCTCCTCTGTATGTGCATGGGCCAGGGAGGATCCACTAGCAAAGAAGTGAAGGAAAAAGCTGAAATTATATAAACACACAAGTTTTATTTCCTTTTGGCAACAGCATTAGTTTCCTCTGGCAAATATTTGGTATCACATATGCAGAAGCATGAGAAAATTCAGTACTGAGTAATGGAGGAGGACTGCATGTTTGGCAGGTGTTCAGACCTCAGGGCAGGGCTAATTAGTTTTGCACCCATTCCATTTCTTCTTTGCATGATGGCAATGATTCATCCAGGTCCGACTTCAGCTCAAGTAGATGCAGTTATATTTTTAGTCTAGGATACTTTCATGCTTTCTGCTGGACTGAGTCCTCTGCTCATTTCTGCAAGTTCCACAAGTGAAATTTCTGCCAGAAACCTCTAACCTGACTCTGCAATATCTTCAGTTAATTTGCTAGAAGCCAAGTTTGTTTTCTTCTAGAATTTTTCCTTTCAGATATGATATATAAACATAAACATTCTTTTTTTCCCCTTTCCCCTGAGCTAGTACTGTTATTTAAACTTTGAACTTCTCTCCAACATTAGTTGTTGGTGTAAAGTCTTCTAAGGATACCTAAACTTTTACAAATTAAACTCTCCTATCACATGATTGTCAGGAGTTCAGTAAAACAAATGGAAAACGTTTCAGTTTTATATGCATTTTGACGTAGCACCTCATCTTCTGATGTTCTTAAAGATTCATTTGGTGTCATTTTACCCCTTTATGGCATCTATTTTCTAGTCCAAGGAAACTCAAGGAAAATAACAGAAGCCAAGCTGAGGAAAATGTTTTGTGAAACAGAAACACGTTTGTTTTTAGCCCTCTGATGTTTTCAAAAGCAGCAATAAGTAAATAAGTTCACTCCTAAAAATGACAATTTGGAAATCAGGATGTGGAAAGATGCCTGATAAAAAAACTAAGTCATTAAAATTACAACAGTAGGTCAGATTACAGATGAGTGATGACAGACCAGAAATATAGTAAGCATATCTGGTGATGTTAGACTTTGGGCAGCTTCTTCATCTCTTTATGCTTTAGGTAGTTTATCTCTTCGGCAAGTTATTTCCTAGAAAGGATGTGAGAATGAATGGTGTGCTGAACTTTGGACTCTTCAGATTAATATTTTAGAGAAGTGCATGCTATTTTTATAAATACTTGGCAATTTCAGAGCTCCTAAACCATATGAAGGCCAAGTTCACATGTCAGAATCTGCTGTGGTGAGGAGGAGTGAGAAAATAATAAAGCGATGGAATAAAAAGGCTGAAGTCCAAGCTCTCAAAAATGTGAGGGTGTCACTAAAGAATGTCCAATCAGAACAATACAAAGCAAATAAGCTGTAACAAACTGACTCAAAACTGGACATGTACAGAGTCCCAACACGACTAACATTACAAAGGCTGATGACGACTGCCTCTTTTTTGTTAGCTGTTTTTCCTACTTTATTCATCTGTACCTGACTTTTATTCCGTACCCTTTCTGCAGCAAATCTCTCCCTCTATTCTGTAGGAACACCCCTGCTCCCAAGCTCTTTGAGCATGACTGTAAGATCCTGTGCCATGGAGAAATGTCTTCAGGGTTAGAAAAGACCCTAACAAGCCTAGTATTTTCTTTATGGTTTTGCTGTATGAGAACATGGTCTCCAAACAGCAGCTGGCACTCAGCTTTAAAATCCTCCGTGTTTCACTTTCAGGGCTATCTTCTCTCCACATTCATGGTACAGATAAAAAATCTCCATTAGTCAGTGCAGGAAGACTTTGATCTGCCCTACAGCCCTCACTTGCGCCCAGCTTAGCAGGATCACAAACATAATTGTTAGCATTTTCTGGCTGCCCCATGTGCTCTGTGCAAGGACTCTGTGGCAGGTTGCATCCACTGCCTCTGTGGGTGACAATTCTCATCAGCACAGCCAGCACAAGTCAGCACCTTTGCTGGCAGTCAGAGCAGTGTGAAGAAAAGCTGAGCAGTCGCAGCGAGTCATTTCTCAGAGAGCTGGTTGTTCTTGGGCAGGTAAAGGCAACAGATCTGTGGCCTGTTATCTTTCAAACCATCAGAACAGCGCCTGACCTTAGCAACAAATAACTTTCATCAGGAAGGCCTTTTGATTGGAATACCTGATTAGCTTTCTGTTCCTTTTCTTTCTTGCTCCTGTATCTGCTCAAAGGCAAGATGCAATAAAAAAGCTTAAACACAAGGGAACTGTGTGAAGAAGATAATGGCAGAGTAAAGAAGTCCTACTGCTACATCTGGTTACTTCCCTCTCTCAATTAATTTCCATGTTCTTTGCTCCCCATCCCAAAGATGTCCTTGTGAAACTGAACCATAGGGCAGATGAACGGGTCACGTGAAATCATAGAGAGGGTCTCAGTCTTATCTTTGGGTCTCCTAAATCCCACTTCACTTTTCAGCAATTAATAGATCAGCAGTTCACAGACCTTGCCTTCATAATGCTAAATTTGTTTGGCCTCAAACACATCGAGATCATGCAAAATGATGTTTCTTATCCTTACAGCCTCACTCACTATTGCCTTAACTTGTTCCAAGGTCTCACCTCTGCTTTGGGAACCTCTGTGTAAGATCCTCTTGCTATCATCAAGGGGAAACTCTCTAACACCTTCCTGCTAATCATTAAGTGGAAACGGAAAACAAAACCATAGTATTTTGGATGTTGCTGTTTGTCTTCCAGTGAGGATTCTTAAATATAGTCTTTCTGCTAGTCAAAACCTGTGGCCTGATTTGGGTTACATGTAGAAGACCTTTTTCTTTTCCCCTGCTCTTCACACTTTACTATCAGATCTTAATTTAAAATCATTACGAAGGTGAAATAACCAATATTTGTATAGACAACTACCAGCAGTAATACATCAAAAAACACCCAGACCCACAAACAAATAACCCCACCTTGACACTTTCTCAGACTCACCCACAAGTTAAAATAAATGCAGTTTTCAATCTTGTACCATTCCATTTCTTCTTTGCTTGTACAAAAACAATCTGAACATATGTTGGCAATTTCTGCTGGACTTCAGGTCAAGAGGTCTCTTCAGATAAGCTGACATCAACTGTGAAACAAAATACAGGAAGTGAAAAAGGTTTAAAGAATTGGATTACTGTACTTCTGGATAATGGTGGGAGTTACTTGGTATTCCCTTTGCTGCTGCAAAAGAACTCAGAGGAGTGGTCAGAGGTAGCAGGAAGAGAATGGAAGAGGTTATGTTAAAATGCCAAAAGTGATGCTTCACAGCAGACAGTGGTACATAACCAACTGCCTCAGAGATTTTACATGTTAAATAGCCAGACATGATATAGGGTGTGAAGGAAAACATAAGGATGGAGAAACAAAGATGTTACCATGCAACTACTTGGTTTATTGCACAAACATGCACTGATGGTTCTGTTTGCCACTTAATGTACTTAGAACACCAATCAATGTTGCTGGAGGTAAGGTTAAATGGAAAACAGCAGGAAAAGCATTTTTTCTAGGAATTCTGTTTGCAGGAAATATTTAACCTCTTGAACAAATGTTACAGGATAATTACAAGCTGAGCTGTAAGTCTCAAGTAATGACCTAAGTGGAGTGAGTTGGGTGAGATGAGCCTTGCTGCGCTGGAGTTGGATTGGTGCAGATGACCTAGAGGTCCCAACTATATCCAAAGCTGTGTAAGAGTGAACATGGAGTTCAATGTGTTCTTATTCAAGAAGTGATGGTGTGGAAAAAGCAGAACAACAGAAAAAAAAGATCCTTTTATTTTCCACAGCAGCTTGTTGGAACACTGTGAGAAAACTTTGGACCAAAATTCTGAAACTCAATTTCTTTCATCCACAAAGAAAATGTGGTGAAGATATTATAAAATATACAAATAAGATATATCTAACTTTGGGTAGCATTAGATAAAAATTCCCATTGTTTAGATGGGTACATTCAGGCACTGAGGCAAAAAATAATTTCCCTAAGATTAAACAGCAAGTCAGAAGTAGACCTGGAAATAGCAAAAGCTCAACCTGCTGTACCTCTTGGGGTAGCAAGTTTTAAAAAACATAGCCTAGTACTTTAGCAGCTTCTTATTTTCATCCTTTTTTAAAAGTGAATCATAGTTTTAAGGCTATGCAATTCCAAATGAAGGACTGAGGCACATACTGATAAAAACAGCAGGCAGTCTATGAGACTCTCCAAGTGTCTGAATTTTAAATCTCCCATCCCACCATTAAGGAGCATTTGAGTGGCTGCCACTAAGAGAACGCAGACCAGTAACTTCAGAAGTGTTAGTAACTACATAGGTATCAAACATTTGGGGAGCTCTTTACCAGTGAGGTGGAAATAGAAACACATTTGGTGGTCTCAATCATTTTCTTTAGGGCACAGCAAGGAGCTGAAGGGGAGCACATAGTGTCTTCTCCTGGGGACTGCCTGGAGTGACGTCAGGGCCTTGACATACTCAGAGATCTCAGCTCAGTTGGATCATCTTTCATGATCCAGTTTTTATTAGGCACATGCTCCAGAGAACTCAGAATTTGTCTATCTAAGCACTCAGCCTGCAGGATCAGACTCTGGCTAGAACTAAGGACTTCAAAGACATGAGCCCAATTTGTTTAGCCAACCCAGGGGACCACATGTCACCTGAACTTGTGACAATTGTTTTCTCATGAGAGTGGATTTAGGGATGCATGGGGACTGATAACATCCGCTACCTCCAGCAGTGCACAGACAGGGAGGAACCTACTGTGGAGGAACTGTGTGATCTGTCCCCAGAGCCAACAGGAGAAGGCTATCAGCATTCTCAACTGACATTCCTGGGCTTCTCTCCTGGAACTTCCAACAGGGTCAATCAACCCTAACTGAGAGGCTGGTTTTATGATGTGAATATGCATATATGGAAAAGCTCCACAAGCAGTGACCCAAGACTTGTATTCTCCTCAACTCTAAGCTGTATTTCACTTCAAAACTTTGACCAGAGGTGTGGTCTACGTACCAGAGACAAAGCTGCACCCACCCAGCTTTGACAATGTTGAGAGTCCTGCTTGAGGCTGACATTCCTGAGCTCTGCTTTCTCAGAAAATCTTTCAAAAAGATTAATTTCCCTCTGCCTCCTGTTAATCTGAGCTAAGACAAACTATTGTGGTGGCCAAAACTAAAGAAAATTATATTTTTGTCCTAGCAGGTGAGTAGACTGGGGTATTGCATGGAAAATGTGTCTTTCCTATCTGAATGGAGATGCCTGCTTTCAGCAGATCAGTTTTCCCAGCAGGTCCATGAAGAAGCATGAACTAGCCTAAGCCAATCAAACTAATTTAATTTGCAGCTAAATAAGATTTAGGTGTGGCTCTCCTTATGCAGACCTTCTATTTCAGAGAAACTTCATTCCTATCAGTGATAATACTGCAATTTAAAATAACACCAGATGACACTGATGCCCCTCCCTGGTCATATCAAATACTGCTGTGAACAGAATCAAAACAGCAGCTCGTGTTATGCTGATGTTTTGTGACTTTTTTTTTCAGGAGGGCACATGTAAGTAACCAGAGGAAAAGAGAAATAAGCATTTAATTCTTAGGAAAGGCACAAAGCATGGCTGAAACCTGAAGGAAAACAGATGCAAATCCTGTTTTGAAAGTACTGAGCAAATCAGGAGAAGCATTAACCTTGCATATATATTAACATTTTGAGAATAACCTCATTCTGACCTCTAGCCCTCAAAATACCCTTTTTTCAGTTTGCCTTTTTACAGCTACACAGCTCCCACGCATAATTGAGCAGATTGCCCTGCTAGCTCCTGTGTACAGCTTAATGCTCACAATCCTCTCTGCTGTCAGTGCTTCCTGACATTCAGGGGAACATTTTCTCCTCTGTTCCTAAAAAGGGAATTCCCTACAGCTAGGAGAAGGACAGACAGTCCCTAAAGGCCCTGGGGGCACCAGCTCTGCCACTTCAGCCTGCAGCTGGCTGCCTGCCTGGGTTGCAGCCTGGTGACCTGCTGTGAAACCCTGGACACTGTTGCGGGAGACACAGGGAGCGGAGGGTTAGCTAATTCTGCCTTGAGCCTTGTGGGTTTTCACTTCTCATCTATTTTTAGCTGGCTGAGCAGCTGGCCTTGGAAGCCTGTTTACAGCCTGAAAGCTTCTTTTTGCTAAACTGTGCTAGGTGTAAAAGCCCTGAGAAAGCCTTAACCCTCTGAGAGCCAGCTCTGAAGCTGGCACTCCGGTTTCCCATTGACTGCCTGAGATTAATTTATGCAAGTAGAATTGCAGCATTAAGAACCACAGGTTCATTCCATTGCACTGATTTGTATTTGTTGCATCTTTGTGCATCTAACAGCCAATCTTCTAGTCCAATAGGAAAGACCATATGTGATATATAACTCAGGTGACTTGTATTCTATAGCTGTGTGGGCTGTAATACACAAGAGACACCATTTTATGTCTCATAGGAGTCAAATTTTGATGTCACTTATGACTGATACGTAAAATGTCTTGTGACCATATGCTATCAGTTTCTATTCCATGAAAGTATTTATTAAAATTTCTGTGTGCAAAGACAGGACATTGTGCTGGCACCACAGGGTCTATAAATCCTGCATGGACTGTTTGCTCTCTCACTATATACTGCAGGGATTGTGCCTTCTAGCCTGGACCGGGGAGAGCGGATGGCCAGCAAAATAAGACCAACCTAGTTTTACTGATGGGTACAACTTTCTTTCTTGCCTTGGTGCTGGTTAAATTTGGTTCATTAATGCACATACTGCTACAAACAAAATTTTTCCTTTTTGTCATTTTTCCCTTGTGGTCTCCAGAAAGTATTTTCTGTTTTTCCAGGCTGCTATCTCTTCAGTCTTTCTCAACACGTAAATACTTCTCCCCATTCATACCTTCACATATATGGAAAACAGGAACACAGGTAGACATCTCCCTGGCTTTTTTGTTATCACAGGGGCCCTGTAACACTAAGCTCCCACACCATAATCAAGATGACTTTGTTGGGTTATCTTAACTTTGACATGAAAACACTTCCTATTTCTTGCCCAGCTTACTTTCCCACAGGTTAGCCAATGTATCTATGTTTGGACCTTTACCTGCTCTGGCAGAAGCTAAATTTCCTTTCCCTTCCTCCTCTGTTTCATACTGATCACTGCTGGGGACAATACACAGATCTCTCTCTTCTCACCCTCATCATATAAAATGACTATGAGGTGTGGGTGCTTCCATTGCCCTTGCTGCTGCTCCACAACTGCTCCTATACTGGATAGAGAGAACAACATACACAAAGTTCTGCCACTGGTTTTGTAACTGAGACACGAAAACTACTCAGATGACAGAAACTCGGGAGTTCATGTTCTGGGACCCAACCCTGCAAACATGAACGGGCCATGTCCTGTAACACGGATACATACGCTCTTTTCTCCTGCCTTAGGATCACTTTCAGAAGTTCATCCCACCGGGAGGGCATTACGGGGAAGATGCTCATGGCTATGCCCAAGGGCGGATGGTAGGAGGAGTGACAGCTGGGCAGTATGGCTCCAGTAAGCAGCAGCATCCTGGTGTCCCTCCTAGGCCTGGAAGCAAAGGAGGCCCTGGAGACAGCGAAGGGGAGCATGCAGGGAAATCGCCTGGAGAAGGAGGCATTGGTACTGAGAAAGGCAAGTATCTCTCTGCAAGAACAAGAAATAGCTAAAGCTATCAGACCTCACACCAACCTTACTCTTAAGGACAAGCCAATTAATGTGACTAAAACCTGAATTCTTCCAAACTAAGTTCCATTGCAAAGTCTAGTTGGACTGCCTTTAGCTTGATGGCTTTGCTTGCATGCTTCTGTGTTGCTGAGTCATAGGCAGGAAGCAGAAATACCTTCCTTGACCAGATTGAAGAAATTATAGGAAATTTAACTACTGAGCTCCTAAGGGTGCTACAGCAGTATTGCCAGCATGGCTATGCCATGCCAGTATGGCACTCTTTCCTTTCAAGGGTTTCACACTGACCACTACCGGAGATGGTAGTATTAGCTCTTTAGCTAAGTAGTCAGATCTGACACATCAGTCTTGAGTATCTCAGCCCTGATTTCAAATCAAAG